GTTTTACATTATATGCATACATTTCATATTTGCCTAAACATATGCCATCTTGGTTATTTTCTCAAAGATCTCCTATAACAACACTTACTTCATTCCTTAAGCTGACTCATTAGATATGCCTGACAGCTTGCGCTCTCTTTGAATGTCAAATTTTTTACAGTATGAACAGAATATAAGCATGGAGAAATGAGTGGAGTGTAAAGGAATATGGGCTCAGCTTATCGAGTGCTTTGGGTTGAATTTGTATTATTCCTAGCCTAAACCTCATGAAAGTGTTTAATCCTCAAAGTTACAGATTAATTATATAGAGAGAGAAGAAAAGTCAACTGATTATAGTATTTAGAGGATGAATCTATTCAAAGAGTAATTCACTTTAGATGAGTTCATGAGGATGGGGCCCCTATGACTAAATTCTAGTAGCTGCATAAGAAAAGAGACACAAACCAGATGCTTTAGTGTTTTTGAAGTCACTGTAATGAAAATACCTCATAAAAACAAATAAGGGAAGATTTGTTATGGCTCACAGGTCCAGGGGATTTCTGTCCATTCCTGGTGTGGAAAGCATGGAGCTATGCCTTCTGGTGGTGGTAGCCTGTAGCAGCATGTGCTCACACACATGGCAAGGACAAGAAAGCAGATGGAGGAGTCCAGAACCCGGGATGGGTATAACTTTCAAAATCCTACCCCTACTGCCCTATTGCTGTCAGGTGGGCCCCACCTCGTACAAGCTCCATAGGGTTTGAAATAGTGCTACAGGTAAGAGACTAACCCTTCAAAATGCAAGCATGTAGGGAATACTTCAGATCCTAAAACCATGTGTTCGTGCTCCCTGAGACATTTGAAGACATGTGCCACTTCCAACCCTTGCCAGTGAAAAGACATTATCAGCTCTTGGACAAATCCAACAATTTTTCCAGAGGCCCCGAAACTGTAAGTTAAATAAACTTCCTGACTTTATAAAGTTTGCTTGTATGAATAAAACAGATATGTAGGAAATAGAATATATTCTCTTTGATTGAGGCATAAAATTTGTTATATTTCCATTATGATAATGTATTTTCTTTATAAAAATCAGTTATTGTGGGATTATGGTATTTGTTACCTGAAATAAAAATGTTATTGTGTTTTGTTCTCTCTTTTCTCTTTTTTTTTCTTTCTTTTTAAAAATACAGTGTCTCCTATAGCCCAGCACATTCCAAACTGTTATGTTTCTGAGGAGATAAACTCATACCTATGATATTCTTGTGTCTATCTCCAAGCACTGGGATTACTGGTGGAGGCCACCATTCCCAATCCACACTGTGCCTGGAATCTGAACAGGTGGACTGTTGCATGCTAGGCAATCACTCTATCAAGGGAACTGCTTCTCTATTCCCTCGTAATTGTTCTTTAATAACTTCATTTGAAATTTGATGCAATTGAAAATTAAAGGTGAAAGAAAGCTTCTCTATGGTTTACTTTTCTTTTCATTGCTGTAGCTATTGAGTTTTTGCAATTTCTCTTTTGCTTATGAATGATAAATGTCTAAAACAAAAATTAACAAAATGTTTTTCTATAACAAAGTAATTTTCTAAAACATGCACATTTGCTTCTGTCATCGTTAATTGAGAAGCTTTAGTAAACTCATCATCTACAATGTCCCATTGCAGTCCATAATAATCTCTTTGAACAGATTCCCTTGCTTAATTGCTTTCATCTCCATTAATTCAGAGCTTGTTTAAATTTATGAAGTGCCTGAATAGAGATCTGGGCACATGGGATAATGACATTTGCCACACAGCATTTCCAATTAGTGAAGAGACTTACAATTTAAAATGCAGTGTAATAAATGATAGAGCATTTCAGGGTGCACACAGGAGGAGCGCCCAGCCCTGCCCTGGCAGGCAGAAGGATTTCCTCTCTCCATTATACCATGACTGGAAAGGATCAGTAGATGGTTCCTGAGGCAAAATTCAGAAAAGTAACTGATGATGATATTCAGATGTGCCAAAAGTTTGGAAGAGGAAGAAGGTTTGAGTTATGTAAATCTCTGTATCATTAAAGTAAAATTAGAGGAAAAGCTAGCAAAAGATCTAAAATGATTTTAATCAAATCTCTCAAAGCTTTCTAAATGTCTCAGCTCCACTATGTTTCCTCTGCCTTGTGTCTCCTTAGTAATTATCACTTTCTTCTTGGAGGTGGAGTGATTTAGCAGTGAAAGATGCAGAGCTTGGGCCTATGTAATCTGAGTCAGACAGAGGCCGACCCACTCGCTCATATCTTTGGACAAGTTTCTCCTTCTCTTTATGTGTTTAAATTCTTAACCTTAAAAACATAGTCATTTTCAGTGTCTATATGACATAACGATCTAGCTCCTAGTATTGGTATGAAGATTTAGAATAAAGCATGTAGAATGGCACTTGGCTTATTCCATTCAGTCTTAATTATATTATCTTGTAATTGTTGCATATATGACTCACCACACTGCTATACTGGTGACCTCATCTCATTTGCATCTACTTTCTTCCCAGGCACTGATTTATGAAAGCTAAAACAGTCAATTACTATGTTTTTAAAAATGAAAGATTAAGGTATTGGGCAACAATTAAGTTAGCACTGTTAAGATATTTGTAAATATTTGCTCTTCTTGAGAAGTATAATAAAGACCAGGCTCAGCAGAACTTTCAAGTATCTATTTCTCATTGTTTTCCCACCATTTGGTCTTTTCCCATGAGGTCAAATTAAAAGAGAGTTTTCTATAAGTATGTAATATGGGAAATGAGAGATTAGTTAGACCTTTCTCCTATACAGATAGATCAGGTATTTTAAAGAATTTATCTGATTCTTTTTTCCCAGAACTCAACAATGTTGTTTGGATAAACAAAACATATTGAACCAAATTCTAAAAATACCTAAGCCAGACCCTCCATGAGTGGTTTCTCAAATGGATAGCCATTGGTCATAGAGAAGAATTAAGGATGCTCATGCTTGATTTTAGAGCATAACAGAACACAAGCATGTACTGAAGATTTTATCACATGACTTTTAATTATCACAAAAGAAACACTAGAGGATTTCTTTTGTGCCACAGGGAAGAAAGGATCAAAAGACTTGGCTGAGACTCCTCAGAAAAAAACAGATCATTTTTGGAAATGGAATATACAAAGGTATCTATGGAGTACATACTCTGCCTATAGCAATTACCATGAATGAGACATGCAAATCCTTTTGAACAAAGTGCAAGCAAACTCAGTTACATTGTCATGGGATAATATTGTGGCAATACATGATCAGGCATGCATCAGTGGGAAATGTCCTCACTAGGGAATGAAAGAAAATTGTTTAATTCCTGCCCAGTTATTGAAATCATAGCCTCAGGGGACAAAAGCTCATTCTCCACAGCACTGAACCTCATTTGATGACTTCCCTAGATGGTCATCAAAATGCATATTTTTGTGGATTTCATCCCCCCTGCTAGATAATAACTATGTCATGGAAATTTCCTTCTTCCTTTATTGGAGGAAATGCAGAATTCAAAAACTAAGATTCAGCCCTGTGCCACTCCTGGTAATATTTTTCAAAGAACCCAGAAATCGTTCATTCCAGAGTCATCTGTCACCTTGACTTAGAACATTCTTTTCAGGAAATTTATTTTTGTGACTACCTTAAGAGTTAGTGACAATGAGCATTTCATTTCATTATGGATTAGTTTTCTGCCATGATTGGCCTGGTTTGACGCATCTCTAGAATACTCTTACAAGGCTCAGAGCAGACCTCAATCCTCCCAGCATCTCTTGCTTCTACTCCAGTATAAGAGCTTAGGTAATACTTTTGGACACTAAGTTGAGACCATTATTATGATCTCAAACCTGAATACGTATGTGTAATTCACTAGCTTTTCTATAACATAACCATATTTTATCACATTCATGATTAAACCTATTTCCTTGTTCATTTAATCAACTTTACCCAAACAGACATGGTCAACTAAACCAGAACTATATCTGTTTTGCACAAATTATGTCTTTAGTGACTATTATACTAGATACACAAGAGGTGCTTAATGTTATTTATTAAATGAATAACTGAAAGAATGTATAAATAAAGGATACCTTTTGCGAAACTATTTGTGAGAGTGGATGATTTTAACACTTAGCTTCATTATACTATTTTGGGATAAAAAAAAAATTTATTATATAATATTCAAGAATAATTTGATATGCCAGCATAAGTAAGTTAGTCTTAAAAATAAATACGTTTCTTGCTTAGCTATTTATGTTGCATTCCACTTAAAGGAATACAATTTGAACAGTGTTGCACTGATCGCTTATCAATGCTCACATTGCTTTGATTGTGGTTTTGCGATTATTTTTAATTAACACACATATGCTTCATCCCTGTTGACTTATTTTTCTTGAATGTGACTAAAGACTAATTTTTCACCAAGAATCTTAGGAAGAGTTTCCATGGTATCTGGGATATACTCCAGACACTCACGTAATCATTATTTGAGCCACCTACTGAGAATTCTGCAGGTTGGAGGCACTTGGAACAGAGTTTATTGGTGAAATCCATCATGAAAAGTGTCTGCTTGAAATAATGAAAGTGAGGAGAAAAGTTTTATCACATCAGTAATTCTAAAATTACAGATGGTATGAGAATTCCAGTCTCTTCACATTTACATTTTTAACATTTGTCCAGCCAAAGACTTCAAAAACCACTACCCACTTATATGCCATGGCTACTCTCAAATACATGCATCTAAAGACCAAATAGGTGTGTATGTGTTGTTTATGCTGTGTGTGCGGTGTGTTTTGTGCTTTGTGGTTGTTGTATGTGTACTGATGTGTGTGTGAAAAAGATGTGGTTTGTTGGTGTGCTGTATATGATGCGTGTGGTATATGATTTATATTTCTGTACTGTATGAAGCATGTGGTGTGTATGGTGAGTGCATAACATATGTGGTGTGTGTGTGTGTGTGTGTGTGTGTGTGTGTGTGTGTAAGTGTTTTGAGTACTTACAGTAGGATCTTTGCCAGCCATTTTGCACTCTTCAACTTTGATTGCAGATGCTGGCCAGAAAACCTGTTCAAAAGAAAAATAAAGTTTGCACAATCTCAGTTGGATACGTAACAGCACAACATTCTTCATTCATTTTTGGCTCAAAGATATCCTTATGGTATTTATATATTAATTTTTCCAAAAATTCTTAGTTCTTTCATCATACGAATTCAAGCTAAGACTCTATGACATTATCATAACATTTATTTTTTATTTTTCCTATTAATTTTTTTAAAAAGTTGTTCAATAATACATGCATTTTCTAGTTGTGTGTAAAACTAAAGTTATTATAAACATAAATGTGTAAAAATAATGCATATTATCACTCTTGATTCACAAAACAGTTTTCCTAATTGCTTACGTAAGTATGTATGTGTTTATGTTTATTCGTTTATATTTATTAACTCAGTTTAATATTACCTTTGGTAAACACACAAACTGACAGATCTACTTAAAATAGGCCTCTAAGTATCATCATGACTAAAACAGATGAAACGAAATCCCAGAAAACATCTCTCTGAAATACTGCGTTAGCATTCTTCTGCTGCTGCTTCCTGGGTAAAGACTGGCAGGATGACTATATTTGGGGGTTGTCAGCCTGTAATGTAATAAATGTAAAGGCTCCTTTCTGCAAACTTAAATATACAAATATATATTGTTAACATACTTTTATTCTTTTTTTTCCAGTGATGCTTAATTTTACTTTCCTACTGTGAAATGGAATGTTAAATATTGACCATGCTTATTCAAGCATCCATGTATTTAATAGCTGTGTTCTTTTCAAAGCCTGTGTGTACAGCACAGAGATGGCAAGATACTTCAACCTTAACCAGGCACTTCCTTCCCCCAATCCTTTTTTCCTTTGCAAGGGTGGCTTTTTTACTTAGTTATTGGTTTTAGATAGGTTAAAACTTTGAAATCAGGAAGGGAGAATGGAATCAATGTATTTTTCAATTCATTAAGTAAAAAGCAATTCCTAGTATTTTCTATGGTTCTACTTTAATAATTATTACTTTCAATTTATTTGAATGTTTTAAAAACTATGTATAATACCAAGATTTTTTCTCATAAAAATCACAAACTTACACTCAAAGGTTCTTGACTGATATTGTTAATATTCAAGGACAGAATGTGGTCTTTGCTCCCAACATAGATCCGGTCCTGATCTTCATCCATTAGTAATATCCTATAGTCTAATGGATGGTGGGACAGCTTGAAGTATTCAGAGGTCTTGGTTTCTCGAAGTTCTGAAATAACAAACAGGAAATGAGGAAATAGAATATGTTTATTCTGTAATTCTATTATTTTAATGAAAATTCTCAGAAACATTTTCAAAAAATTAAGAAACTTTTTCTTATGGTAGTAAATTCATTTTAACGTTTAAAAGAAAGTTTTACTAATCGATATTTTTAAGTTTTTGAATTTATGCTGAAGTGGAACAAACGAACAAGGACAATGTCAAAGTTCAGATCAACACTAGGTGATGCAAATTTTTTCACATCTGTAATAATCTCAAATTCGTTGGTAAAAGTTACCAGCTAGTTAAAAATACACAAAAGACAAAGTGAATAGAGAGAGAAACCAGAGTTTGGGAGAATGGCTGGCTTGCTGTTTGTTAACGGTTTCTTCTTGGATTCAATACATTTACCATTCTAGGATCATCTCTTGCTCTAAATCACTGACCCACTTCAGCACAATTTCCATTTCTTTAATACATATTTCCATAAGTAACTGAGAAGTTATTTTCCCATTTCTCCTTCAAAGACTCAATGTCATTGAAATGACAATAAGCCTGTGGGCATGTCAAAGGAAAGAATGAAATGAGAAACAAGAATCATCAGATTTTAATATTGCAATGATTGGTGGTTTGTGTTTATTGAACTTCTATTATGCTGAAGGTCTGCCTGTTAGTTGTCCCCTGAACAAGGAATGAGCCACAAAAATAAGAGCAGTCGATAAGCATGGCCGATGCCATCTGCTCCGCAGGCAAAATGTTCCTTCACAAACGTAAGATTTTTCTATTAAGATTTTCCAGTAGTCCTTTGATCTTGTGATTATGAACTTAAGAGAATGACAGATAATGAAAGAAAATGTTTTCTGAAGTTAGTACTTCAATGATGAGCTAATTCTAAAGTTTTAGGCTAGACTCTCAAGTGTATTTCTAGAACTTGTTATGGCTATGTCTTGGCTTAAATGAAAATAAAAATGATAAGGATTCTTACAGGAAGTCAAGAGTCATATCTGTGAACGCTTTGGTGATATACCAAATGGGAACACTGAGAAGTCACTAATTTACCTTGTTTGCTCAGCACCCTTTTTCAGAATGTCTATTATAACACAATTCAAGTAGTTTTAGACAATTATATATGATGTCAGCGAACTGGCCTATCTTGCTGTGGTGCCAAACCACAAATAAACTAATATTCCTGTGTCTTAATTTTCTTTTAAGTAAGTGCAATAATAGTACCTTCGGTTGAGCATCCTGTGGAAATGAAACGAATGCTTGAAAATACTTTAACGAATGGAAATTTTAAAATTGCAATGATTATAACTTATTCATAGTAGTACTAAATTTGGATTAATAATTACAGGAAGACATGAATTTAGGCAGTGTAAATGCACTTTCCTCCATTTCATTTTTAATTTAAGTCATTGTCCATGAAATTATTAACACATAATCTTAAAGCACATTCTCGGGTATACTACACTATCCATATGATAAAGCCTACATTTTTTTTTTTTTTTTTTTTTTTTTTTGTAGAAGAAACAATTGAGCAAGAATTTAATCTTGAAAACTGTGAGAGAAGGCTGGAATGAACAGGTAGGTAATTAACAAGGTGACATACTTTTGGAAAAGTGACTGAAGACCTTCCCTTTGTTAGGTCTCCCTACGCATCTCAGACCAAGAGCTGACACAGCAAGTATTTCCAATGGTCCAGAAAGTAGGGCAGCTTCCTTCATGAGAACTGAAGAAAAGGGTGTAGGAATGTCACTGGAGAAGAAATTCAACTCATACTAGAGATTAATGAAAGCCAAATATCCAAGATCTGAGAATACTGGAGAGAATACAGCATTAAAAAAAAGTCAGGAAAATGCAGACAGCCTGGATTATTTTTAAAATCCTAGTGTTGATGCCCAGCAACAGGCCTCAGTTAGTAAAGGCATGTGCTGCCAAGCACAGTGTACTGAGTTTGAGCCCCGAACCCACACGGTAGAAAGAGTTCTAGAGACTGGAGTAGTAGGACACAATTGCTCTCAAGGGCAAATGAGAAATATGAGGAAGGCCCTTGAGGGAAGATCAAGGGTAATACAGCAGGAAATGGAAGAAGTAGATATGAATAACACTGTAGACATCTGAAAAAAAAGGATAACATTATTTTATCAGTTTACTTAATAGTACATATAATGTATTACACTCTGTGTGTGTGTGTGTGTGTGTGTGTGTGTGTGTGTGTGTGTGTGTTTTAGATGGAGTTACACCACAGGCAGTGATATGCTTCCCTCAAGAACTCTAGACCATTTAACAAAACCCAGGTGCCAGGTATGGGAAACCTCACTTTGAATTGTTGATCAGAATAGTGAAAGAGACTCCCAAAACAACATAAGCTACTGCCATTGCCCTTGATTGCCATGCAGAACTTGAAAATAAGACCTGAACCACTACACACTTCAGACACAGGACATGGAGGAATGGAGCTGGTGCTGACCTGGAAGACTCCTACCTGAAGACCAGCTCTCACAGTATCAGCCAGACTACCAAGGAAGAAAAGAAGTCAATAGTCATCGCCAGCTGTAAAACCCATGAACCACAAAGATGACTGGCTCAACAAGATGTCCCTAACAGTAAAAAGTGGCACTTTTATCTTGGGGGTAACCAAAATAGCAGCTGGCTATTTGAACTTAAAGCCCTTGCAATAGGAGGGAATTCATACTTGGTACTGTAAACCTACCCAGATACCCATGACCCTAGAGAAGAACCTATCAGTGCCATTACCACACATTGATGTAATTTCTGACTGCATTCTAAAAACGTATTCTTAAACTTACAGATGAATGCAGCACCCACTCTTCATCAAAGAAGCTGTGATAAACATTTAAAGAATGTGGAATAATTTTGTATGATAAAGAAAATAAAGGGATGGGGACTGGTCAGATGGTTCGGTGGTTAAGATTCCCAGCACCCACATGTCAGCTAACAACCATCCGTAACTCCAGTTCCAGGGGATCTTACCACCTTTGTCTGACCTATGTGAGCACTGCATGATGTGAGTGCACTTACATACATGCAAGTAATACATTCACACATATAAAATAAAAATAATAAATACATATGTTTTCTAAAAAAAGAAGATAAAGGGAAGATGAAAAATTTCCTGCTAAAGTTCCAAGGTAAGTTTAGCAGAAATAAATATGTCCTTGCTGCTTTTAGGAGACACTAAAGGAACACGTTTTAGCTACTGTGATTTGAGAGTTCATTTTTCTGTTATAGAAATTCACAGTAACTGCTGTATCTTTTTAATTCACAGCCCCTAGCTATCACCTTCTCATTCTGTGTAACACAATTGATTTAGTTTAGATGGCTCCTCAAATTCTTTCTTTTTATTTGTCCTTCTTTCTTTTGTTCCTTCCCTCTCTCCTTTTCTTCTTACATCACTTCACCTCCAAATCTGTACTAAAATAAAACCAAGCATGTGCGCTTGGAAATAAAAATGCTGAACACAGCCATTCTCCTCTACCTGTTTTATCAGAAAACAATTAGTGTCTTTATTTCCAATTCAACCTGGAGCAATAACCACATCAACTTAAAGACCTTTCTGGTCCAAAGATTATTATCTATTATTTCTGAGCCATAAAGCATTTTTAGATTTAATTAACTGTAGCTCATTGACAGTTGACAGCTGTCAACTACGAAAGATTTACATCGCATGTGCCATTTTTGTGATAGAAGTCTGAAGTATTTTGTTAAAATGTTATTTAAATTACTATTGATCTTGATCTTTGGAACTTGGAGGAAGCAAAATTTCAAAAAAATATAAACAATATGTTCATAGCAATGAGAATTCTATCTACAAAAAGCATAACCCAATAATCTCTCATTTTGTTCAGCGTAAGTTCAAGTTGAAAGGCAGGGAGTCAAAGATTTGGTCACAGTGAGGAAGTGGCTGATTTAGTGATTTGAGTACAGCAAGATAAAGAAATGGCAATTACTATTAAGTTCTTCATCTAAACAAGGCAAAGTATGAGGCTGACCTACATTTCTTTAAATGCTAATGATGATATCATCCTTTTTACAACATCAGAGATATAGTCAGTTATATTGTTCCTCATATTATGCTCAAATGACTGAGAATGGACTTGGCCTAGAGCATACTACATAGTATTAGAAAATACAGTGGCCCCACAAAGGGCATCATAGGTCTCCAAGTTCCTGGGAAAATCTCCTGGGAAAGATCATTAAAAATGCAGCATGTTTCTGTCCTGATGATAGCCATATTGTCCTAGATGACTATGATGGAAAATTACTGTAATACATTCTAGGGCAAGTTTCTCTGAAGGAGACTTTCCAGTGTATCATGCGCACCTAATATTTGCATGATCAAATGGACTTCTCATTAAAGAAAACACAGTGAGCCTTGAGAATTTATATTATGGCAACCAGAGCATGGATCAATATACAGTACCAGATTATGTCTGTCACTAACACACTATTCTTAATTAGGAGAACTAATTTTGGTCAGAGACCTTAATGTTTTTGAGGTGAGGTGTCTACATCATTAAGACTTTCATTCATGGGCTTGGGAAATGGCTCTGTGATTAAGAACATGACCTGCTCTTGCAGAGGACTGGAGTTCTACTCACAGCACCAACATCACGCAGCTCATAACCACCTGTAAGTCCAGCTCTAGGGAATCCACAGCCTCTGAAAACATCTGCACCTTCATGTATACCCCCATACCCCCCAAATACACATAATTTAAAAATAATAAAAATAGGACTGGAGCGAGGGCTCAGTTATTAAAAGCACTGTCTGCACTTTGGCTCAGTTGTTAAAAGCAATGTCTCCTCTTGCAGAGGACCCAGATTTAATTCCCAGCATCCACATGGCTGCTAACAACCATCTGTAACTCCAATTCCATTGGATTCGATGTCCTCTTCTGGCCTCTGAGGGCTTCGCACAGTAGGGGTATATTTATATACATGCATGCGAAATACTCATAGACAAAATAAATATAAATTAATTAAAAAA